CACTTGGAACTTTCTCGAATGGAAAGATCTCTGCATACATAATTTTACGTTCTGTAACAACTTGTTCAGAAACTTCTTCATTCTCGCTCTGAGACTAATGCATTACACACATTGGACATCTCCCTTGTGAAAGTCAGCTTTAAGCAGAACATTAAGAATATTCCAGGTTCATCCATGTCCCTACAAAGGACACAAACTCATCATTTTTGATGGCTGCATAATATTCCATGGTGTATATGTGCCACATTTTCCCTGTCCAGTCTATCATCGATGGGCATTTGGGTTGGTTCCAGGTCTTTGCTATTGTAAACAGTGCTGCAATGAACATTCGTGTGCACATGTCCTTATAGTAGAACGATTTATAATCCTTTGGATATATACCCAGTAATGGGATTGCTGGGTCAAATGGAATTTCTATTTCTAGGTCCTTGAGGAATCGCCACACTGTCTTCCACAATGGTTGAACTAATTTACACTCCTACCAACAGTGTAAAAGTGACAGAAGAGCAGAAGATCAAACACCGCATGTTCTCACTCATAGGTGGGTGTTGAATAATGAGAACACATGGACACAGGGAGGGGAGCACTGCACACTGGGGTCAGTTGGGGGAAATAGGGGAGGGACGGTGGGGGGTGGGGAGCTGGGGAGAGATAGCAAGGGGAGAGATGCCAGATGTAGGTGATGGGGAGGAAGGCAGAAAATCACACTGCCACGTGTGTACCTATGCAACAATCTTGCATGTTCTTCACATGTACCCCAAAACCTAAAATGCAATAAAATAAATAAATGGGAAAAAAAAAGAATATTCGTGGACCTGCTACACATCTGCGGGCAAAACCTTGTGGGAACCATGCTTTTCCACCTTCAGAGGAGACCTAGTTTAAAGCAAAAGCTCTTTTGAGAATCATCAGGTTGTATTTGGCATGGGAGCAGGGGCAGGGAGATTAGGCCGCAGGTTAGTGTCATCCCCCCTCACCAAGGCTCCTAAAAGCATCGGCTGGCTCCAGTGTTCCTGTCTTATTGTCCTCAACCGTCAAGATTTGACTTTACCATCTACTGACACTGGGACTTGGGTCATCTCCTCATCTCCTTTGGCCTGAACTTCCTCACCAGTAAAGTGGGGTGAGCAATTTCTACTGCACGCATTCCTCAGCAGGAGTAAAAGAGATGAGACATTCCAAGTATCTGTACTATGCCTGGGGATAGTTGGCACTCAGAAAATTTGTGGGCTAACGATTAGGGCAAAGATAAGTGATACTGGCTGGGCTCCAAAAGGGCAGGGAACTTTGCTCCGTAGGCTGTTCTGCTGATCTTCAGATCCTGGCCTGCAGGCTACCACAGATGATGAATAAATGAAAGAGATGTCAGATCTGGAGTGAAAAGAACGTCACTTTTTTCTAGACAAAAGGGAAGGATCTGTAGAATCGTATAAAAACAGGAAGGTTTGATGGTGGAGTAGAGATAGAATGTTCAGTTCTAATAGCCACCTCTGTTTTCTCAATGTTTGAGGTGGAAAGGAGCCAGGTTAAGGAAGGCTCACCTAATCTGGCTTCCTGCTGTGTATAGCATGGCATTGATAGGCAAACTATAAACATAATGTCAAGTTAGAATTGTAAAGGGCAGCAAGGTGATACAGAATAATGAGTACAAGAAACCTGTGAATGTTTATTCTACTGTCGTACTTGTTTACTGCATGTACTCATTATGCCAAGAGGTAAAAAGGTAGTTTTATTGTATGATTTCACTTGACCTCTGATTGCAAGATCTGGGATTTCCATGTGGTATATCCTTCTGTTTGATGACATAAATAATTCCCTAGAAACTGATTTGTGTATAGCTGTCCCTCTGGGGGAAGTATGGGAAAAAAAAATCTATGTTGCAGCTCAATTTCTTCATTTGGTTTCCAGATGCTAGTGTCATTCGCAATGTCCACGAAGAGAAGATGGAAAATGGCCAACCACAACCTGTTAACATCTTGTCAATTATTCCACTAGGACCTATTAATTGGGCAGAAGCTGGTATGTCATCCATGAGTACCAGATATCTGTGTATGTTAGTTTGTTAGTTGTACTCTCCTACTTGGTTTCCATATGCATGCATGCTGTAATGAAGGGAAAAAGGTGTTTTTTTTTTATTATTATCCATTGTGAGCTCAATTTGAGTGGTCTCAGATGGCCACCTGGCATATCCTCCGATTTCATGGGATGATTTCCTAGAAACTGAGCATCAGTGGGATATACCAGTGGGGTTGTCATAATGCACTGACCTCACAGCTCAACTTCTTCATTTGAACAGAGGATGGAAACCCACTAACCCCAAAATGATAACGTCTTATCAACTGGTCCACCATGGCTTGGTGATATGGCAGCAGCTGGAATTTCATCCATGAGTACCAGGGATCTGTGTATGTCTGCTTATGAGTTGTACTGTCCGACTTGGTTTCCATAAGAAGGCATATTTTCATGAACGGTAGAAGGTTGGTTTGTTATATATTTTTTCCTAGCCTCAATTTGAGGAGTATCAAATGGCTGCCTGGCATATCCTCTCCTGCTTTCTTAGATAATTTTACAGAAACTGATCATCAGAGGGATATGCCTATGGGGTTGACATAATGCACTTACCTCACAGCTCAACCTCTTCATTTGGTTTCCAGATCCTATCATGAATCACAATGTCCATGAAGAGCAGGTGAAGAATGGCCAAACACAAATTGTCTTGTCAAATTTTCTATCAGGGCTTATTAATACGGCAGGAGCTGGCATTCCAGCGATGATTGCCAGGCATCTATGTATGTTTGTTTATTAGTTGCAGTGTCCTCCTTGGTTTCCATATGCATGTGTAGTATCATGAAAGTAATAAGGTGATTTTGTTGAATTATCTTTCCTGGTCCCAATTTGAGGGGATTTAGATCATTATATGGTGTATTCTCCTGCTTTATGGGATAATTTTCTAGAAACTGAGTATCAGTGGGATATACAAGTGGGGTTGACATAAAATGCACTTACCTCACAGCTAAACCTCTTCCTTTGGTTTCCAGATGCTATCATCAATCATCAATCACATCCTCTCTTGGGGAAGAGAGGATGCAAAATAGCCAATCCAAAACTGATAATGACTTATCAACTATTCCACCAAGGCTTGGTCATATGGCAGCAGCTGGTATTCCATCCATGAGTACCAGGGTTCAGTGAATGTTTACTAGTTATACTGTCCTACTTGGTTTCCATATGCATGCAGTGTCATGCAGGAAAGAAGGTGGTTTTGTTTTATTATCTTTTCTGTCCTAAATTTGAGGGACCCCAGACCACCACCTGATATAGCCCCCTACTTTATGGGATGATTTCCTAGAAGCCGAGTATCAGAGGGACATACCTATGGCATTGACATAATGCACTTAACTGACAGCTCAAACTTCTCATTCAATTTCCAGATGCTACCATGTCTCACAATATCTGTATAGAGAGAATGTAAAATGGCCAACCGCAACCTGATCATGTCTTGTTAACTGGTCCGGCAGCGCTTATTTGTATGGCAGCAGCTGGTATTCCGACCATGAGCACCAGGGATCTTTATATTTTGCTTATAAGTTATTACTCTCTTACTTGGTTTTCATATGCATGCATAGTGCCAAAAAAACATAACGTGGTTTTGTTGTATTATCATTTCTGGCCTAAATCTGAAGGATCTCAGATCACCACCTGATAGGATTATCATTTCTGGCCTAAATCTGAAGGATCTCAGATCACCACCTGAAGGATCTCGGATCACCACCTTATATATCCTCCTGCTTTATGAAATAATTTCATGGAAACTGAGCATCAGAGGGATATACTTGTGGTTTGGCATAACGCACTGACCTCACAGCTCAACCTCTTCCTTTGGTTTCCAGATGCTACCATCACTCACAGTGTCCGTGAACAGAAGATGGAAAATGGCCAACCAGCACCTGATAACATGTTGTTGACACTTCAACCAGGACTTATTAATATGGCAGCCACTGGTATTTCATCCATGAGTACCAGGGATCTGGGTAAGTTTGTTTGTTAGTATTACTGTCCTACTTGGTTTCCATATGCATGCATACTATCAAAAAGGGTAGGAAGTGGTTGTGTTGTATTAACTTTCCTGGCCTCAATTACTACTTGCAATAGCATAAGCATTTCTACATATCTAAGGTTTCAAATCCTCTTTTATGAAACAAATCATTTGTTATCCCTGAAGTTTTAAATTGATATATTTAATACAAGCAAGCAGAAGGAGGGGAATGATGAAAATTAAAGTAGAAGAAAATCAACAAAATAAAAAACAGAAAAAACAATGAAATCAAAAGTTGGTTCACTGAAAAGGTGAAAAAAACCTAACAACCTTTTAGCTTGACTGACCAAGAAAAAAACAAAAAACTATACAGATTATCAAAACCAAGAATAGAAGGGGGTATATTAATACTGACCTTATAGAAATTAAAAGGAATACATTCTGAATAACTTTCTGCCAAAAATTAACTTGGATAAAATAGAAAAATTCCTTGAAGACAAATTACTGAAATAGGACTATAGCATGAAAAGAGATTTAATTAGTAATTTAAAAACTCCCCGCAAATACAAGCCAAGCCAAGGTGGCTTCGCATGCAAATTCTACCAAACATTTAAGGAAGAAATAATACCAACACTTAGCAATGTCTTCAAGAAAATAACGGAGGAAGAAACACTACTTCATTCTATGAGGCCAGTATTACCCCGTTATCAAAGCCAGACAAATATATCACAAGATATATTTGCCTGTGAGCTCCAAATTCACCCTTTTATACTGCAGTGTGAGAAGGCTCTGTGTTCCTCTGCCTATGTGCGCGGTGCAGTTGATATTGAAGGCCGCCTTTAGAGGGCGCCAGAGTCAGCGAAGGGGAGCGCTGCTCTTCCTGGGTCTCTCTGGGCTGCCGCCCTTGGTCCTGCTGAGTTCGAGTCTTCTCCTCTGGACTGTGGCGCCCCCAACAGGTTCCCAGTGGCCGGCCGCTTACCTTCCTTCCATCTCCCTGAGGCACTACGGGATTGGTGCTTCCGGTGAGACAGGTACCGTGCACATCACTCCCAGGTGCCCTAGGGGGCCCATTTCCCACAACTCCCAGAGGCACTTTTCTAGAAAGTTCAACCGGGGGGAGGTGCCACAGCAGTTTCACTGCCATTTTGTGATGTGACGCTTCCGCTTCTCCGGCAAGGTCAGGACTTCAGGACTGTGAGTGGAGCAGTTTTTCCCTGAATGCTTTCATTTCACCCTGGAAAGTGTCCTTTGTCCTAGGAAAGCCTCTTTTCTGGGGTGCTCTCCGTCGGGTGTGTGGTATGGATCACTGGGCTATGTGTTCCCACTCTGAGGACACCGCCGTGGGAGCCTGTGTTGGCTGTGGGGGAACATTTTCATTGGGCACCCCATCTCAGCTATGTTGTGGGACTGGGGGGTTTTCTCGGGGGCTCCCTCTAGGTGATGCGAGGGACTTTTCCTGCTGAAATGATCTGAACCAGGACTTAGGGATCCTGCCTTGGTTGTCTGTGTCAGCCTTGGGTTCCGGGGTGTGTCTTCCCCCGCTCAGTCACAGCCCTGAGGGGAGACTCTGCCTTCTGGACTCTGCCTGTGCTCATGGGCCAGGGTGGGGGTGGCTGTGCCCCGGACGCACTATCACCGCTCTGTGGGGTCACTGTCGTGGGCTTTATCTCACTCCACGAGGAGCTCTTCTTTGGGTGCTGATGTCCTCTGTGGGGCGCATTTGTCTTTGGATGTTGCTCATGCTCAGCTAGGATGTGTTGGCCTTTCTTTGGTTCTGCTTGTCCCTGATGGGGATGCTTACCAAATGCTTTCTCTTGGTGCTGGGTTTTTTAATTATCTGTGGGTTCTGTCTCCCGGTGCTGCGGGGGAGTGGGGTGCTGTTCCTTGGATTCTCTAAGCCTACGGTGGGACTTGGGGAGCTCTATGTCCGCCATGATGGAGGCCACCTGACCCTGGGAGCTCTGTCTCGCCCCGGGTTGGAGTGCTTTTCCTCCGTTGGTTGATCTCAGTTCTGAAGGAGCTCTTCCCTGGGGTACTATCTGACCTTTCAACCACAGCCTGGGGTGTCTGTGTGGGAATCGGCGTACAGAAATATTCGAAGATTCCAGCTGTGCCACATTCACACACTTGCTGTACAGTTAGGCTTTCATTCCAGCCACTCTGATGGGTGTGCAGTGATCTCTCCTTATGTCTACACTTGCATTTCTCTGCTGATTAATGAGATTGAGCACATCTTTTTTAAAATTTTTATTTATTTATTTATTGTTTACTTATTGATTGATACTTGTTTGTGTTTTGAAGTGGGGTCTCCCCCTGTCTCCCAGGCTGGAGTACAGCGGCACTTCGACCTCCCGGGCTCGAGCAATTCTCGTGCCTCAACCTCCGGAGTTCGTGCCTGGGACTACAAGCATGCACCACCATGCCCGGCTAATTTTTGTATTTTTTTTTTCGTAGAGAGGGGGTTTTGCCAAGTTGCCCTGGCTGGTCTCGAACTTCTGGCTTAAGCGATTCACCCACCTCGGCCTCTCAAAATACTGGGATTACAGGTATGAGCCACCGATTCCAGCTATTTATTGATGGTTTTGGAGCACGTTTTTATGTATTTATTGGTCATTTAACTGTGCCCTTTAGGAAGTTCCTTTTCAGGCCTCTACTCCCAGATTTTACTGAGATGTTTGTACTTTAAAAATGGATTTGTAGTTTACATATATTCTGGATTTCAGTTATACACACATACACACAGGCATATATGTACATATATAAAATACATATGTAATTTTAATGTCTTCTATAAATCTGTTTTGCTTTTACACTGTCTCCATAAAATGTTTTCGACGAACAGACTCTCTTAATTTTATTAGTCAGTGTATTATTTATGGCTATTGCTTTTTATTATTTTAAGAAAAATCTTTGCCTTACCCAATGCCATGACGATTATATTGTTTTCTTCTAGGTCTCAAATTCATCTCAAATAAATTTTCGTTGAATGGAGTAAAGTCAGAGTCTGGGTGTGTTTTATGTGTTTATTAAAGTCATATTTGAGTATGACTGTTATGAAGTGTGTATTCAGCTTTCCCCCTCAAATTTTATTGGGATGTTTGTTTCTTAAAAATTGATGTGTAGTTCTGGATATGTTATGTATTCCACTCACTTTTTGTCATATATACATACATACATACATATGTATGTATATATGTGTGTGTGTGAGCTTGTGTGAGTGTGGTTAATATATATTTTTACATATAACCTATACAATCTAATCTATGATATATAATCTACAAATATGCTTTGCTTTTTCACTGTCTTAATAGTGTCTTTGGAGGAACAGAAATTTTCCATTTAATTATGTCAAATTAAACAATTCATTCTTTATGGTTAGTGCTTTTGTATCCTCATTAGAAACATCTTTCCCAGTTCTGTAGTTATGAAGATAATATCTCAAGTGTTTTACTAGATTGTCTATCCATCTTTAATAATGTTTTTTGGAGTGGATAAGAGTCAAGGTTTATATTTTCCCTGCATTTATAAAGTGTATTTATTAAAAGCACAGCCCTTTCCACAATGATTTACAGAATCTCTTCTGTGGTAAATCTAGCTCTTTTGTGTTTCCAGATTGTTTCCAGACTCTGTCCTCTTCCTTTGGTGCATTTGTCTGTCATTGCTCCAATACTACACTGTTTTAATTGCTCTACCCTTACAGTAAATCTCATATTTAGTAGTGTATATCTACCAAATTAGTTATTCTTCTTAAAAATTGTCCTGGCTTTTCCAAATCTTTAATTACCATATATATTTAAAACAATTTTTTTTAGACAAAGTCTCACTCTGTCGCACAGGCTGGAGTGCAGTGGCACGATCGTGGCTTACTGCAACCTCTGCCTCCTGAGTTCAAGTGCTTCTCCTGCCTCAGCCTCCTGAGTAGCTGGGACTACAGGCATGAGCCAGCACGCCCAACTGATTTTTCTGTTTTTAGTAGAGACGGGGTTTCACTACATTGGCCAGTATGGTCTCAACCTCTTGATGTCGTGATCAGCCTGCCTCAGCCTCCCAAAGTGCTGGGATTACAGGCTTGAGCCACCGTGCTGGCAATTCCCATATACTTTTTAAAAAACTATCAGCTTGTCAGTTTTTGGAAAATTTATTTTACATGGTGTAATTTTAAGTAAGATTGCCATGATCATTCACGGAGAATTAACAGTAATATCTCTTAATAATGTCTTCCATTCCGTGTAAAGAATATTTTTTCCATTTACTGCAGCCTTGAATTTCTCTCAGTGATGTTTTGTAATTATTGTGTAGTGCTCCAGCACATCTTCATTAGATTTATTCCTAAGTATTTGATGTTTCTGGTACTGTTTTTAATGACATTTGAAATTTCATATTCTAATTATTTGTTTCTATTAATTATAAAGAAATACCAGTGGTTTTTATTATATCTAGTAACTTGACTAAGTTTGTTTATTAACCCTAATGATTTTATTCTTTTACATTGTCTATGTACAGAACACTGTTGTATGTGAATAATAACAGTTTCATTTCTTTCCAGTTTTTAAACCTATTATGTCTTCCTGATGCCACTGCACTTCTTAGACCCTCCAGTAAATTGTTGAATGGATAGTTGATATTTTTGTCGTGTTTCCAAACTCAGGGAGAAAATACTGATATGTCACTATTAAGTATGGTTTTTACCATGATTTTTTTGTGCATACGCTTACCACCATTAGAAAGTTGCCTTCTTTTCTAAGTTACTGATGGTTTTTGTCATGAATAAATGTTAAACATTGACCCCCTCATCTATGAAAATAATCCTGTGGTGTATCCCTGTTTTTTTTTTTTTTTTTTTTTTTTTTTTTTTTTTTTTTTTTTTTTTTTTTTTTTTTTTTTGTTAATGTGGTGCATTATATTTATTGATTTTCAAATGTGAAATCAATCTTGCCTTTCTGCAATATGTTTGACAATGGTTGATGTATGTTGTTTTTAAGTACTATTGCATTTTGTTTGCTAAACTTTTGTTTAGAATTCTTGTGTTTAAATTCAGGGTGATCTTAGCTTGTAGTTTTGTCTTGATCTTATCATTTATTTTTTTCTAAAGTCCTTGTCAGATGTTGTTACCAGGTTTGTATGAATCTCCTAAAATGAGGACAAAGAAAAGGAATTATTTTTTCTAACAAGGGTTGATACAAATTGGTTTATAATCTTCAAAGAGTTAATAATAGTTTAATCTACATTTGATTGATGGTCGCTGCCTATTCTGCAATCATTTTGATTGATTTTGATTAAACTATCTTCCTTCTTTTTAACTTAGCATGCATTAAAATTAGGTTTCTTTTCATGACAACAGAGTGTTTGTTGGGGCTTGGTAAATTTTGGCTCATGATTATACGTCAAATTAATGATTCACATTCTTGGTTGGATACACATATGCAGACTGTTTGCCATTTTGTGATTGTTAGATTTTTGTCATGAGTGGGATATGTTCATTGATGTATTTTAGGAAACCATGACCGATAAAGGAGAGAAGGTGGCTGTAGAACCTGAAAATGTGTTTAAACGTCCCAGGGAATCTGACAGTCCTTCATATCAGAAAAGGCAGAAGATGGCCCTGTTGGCATGGACAAAAGGAGCAAGAGGTGGTGGTACTGGACACTCCGCCATGTCTATGGAAAAGGGTAAGTTGGCCTGACCTCATGTCCTCTTCATGCTGTATCCAGTGCAGCTGGCCTCCTGCCTCTTACCTTCCAGATAAACTGTCCTTGTCAAGGTCAACAGTTTCAGCTGGCATTGCCATTAATTTCACAACAGCATTTGACAGTTGTTTACTTCCTCCTTCGTGGAAACCTTCTAGGATTTCCATTTTCCACAACGTGTATTTTTTAAAATTTCTTGTCCTTACTAGTGAATCCCTCTTTTCTTTTTTCTTTCTTTCTTTTT